GGAATTCTCAGCACATATTGGTGGTTTACGAACATGTCGCCAACATTTCCACCAAAAATCCTCCTCTTCCATTGGTTCATGAATAAAGGCCACGGTCAACAGCATTGCGGTTCTTTGTGAACGAGAAAAATTGGCAAACATGCGAGACCATCGTTATTCCAAATAAATTTTATTTCCCTTTTCGGTAAACGTAAAAATTAGGGCGGAGTTAATTTAATCAGCCTCAGTGATGGCAAATTTCTGGTCTTTAAAGAAATTGAAAAATAACCACGAGTGAACACGACTGCTTCTTTGTCCAAGGATAAAAAATAATAAACGTGGAGGAAAAATAATACCCATTTTCCAGACGGTTTAGAACCTTTTTAAAACCATAATTGCTTCGGTTCAGTGACGAGGTGAATGAAAATTACTTCTATGGAAAATGCAGGTAATGCACGAATATGTAACAGAATTTCTTGGTTTCTCTGGGTCTATTCTATTATCGTTCGAATTCCAAGAGAAATTGTAGGGAATTTCGTTTCAGGGTAGCAAATATTCTGAGAAAATATCCGAAGGTAACCTAATTGTGAATAATTCAAGCTTCAACCTAAACTCTTAAACCGTTCGAGCTGAACGTGCAACGGGGAACTGCTTTTTAGATGGTCATCTGAAAATAAGCTCCCGTCACATTTTCTATTCGAGAAGATATTGTTCTTTGAACCTTCGATGTATCTTGCGCGAAAATATACGAGGTTAAAAATGTACGTGAAAAGGAAAGAAAATAAAGAGGGTCAGCGATGTGCCAAAAATACAGAAGTTTGCACTTCTTCTGGAAGTTTAATACATATGCAAGTGTTATTCGGAGAAAATTTTGCGATGTTAATTTCCACCGGCAGATTATTCCATAGTTAACGTCTAATTTGCATTTACAATTGACAGGGGTGATGGACGGGGACGCAGTCATTAATCTTAACACGTCGATGATATCAGAGCCTGAGCTGAAGCATGAAACTAAGGTTAATTGAAGTGTTCCAGGAAATTTCTTGAATTCGCCTTCCTTAATGGGCAGAACGCGAAGAAACAGCGCAATAACAATAATTTTACGTCATTACTATAAATAACAGCTTAAGTAAGATTCTCGTATCTCGTCTACGGAAAAATAAACGAACGTTTCAATTTATTAACGTTTCTTGCAAACATCTCACTTGAGATGCTAATTCTTTTATGGAGATATTTCACGCATAATACGGTATTCAGATTCAGAAATGTCATGTTACACAGGGATCTCCCTAATTTTTGAATTATATATCGTGTTATATACAGTGTGTCACAAAATTATTCGCTCAATCGAAGATGTGACAAACACGAATGAAATAACGAGGCAATAAATACATCATTCCTCGACCTAAATTCGATAGATACAGCGTGAAATATGATAATTCGCGAATATTTCGTTACAAGCGAATCTGAAGGGCAGAAAATAGAAAATAAATATTTAAAATATTTAAAAAATAATATTTAAAAAGAAAAATGAGATCGATGCCAAAAAGATATAAAATAACAAGAATACTAATTTCGTAAAAATAATAATTTCTACAAAATTGTCCTTACATATATGAATAATTTCATGACAACACTGAAAAGAAAGAGTTTTAACCCTTTGCACTCGAAAGGCGACTGCAGAAAATAGAAAATAAATATTTAAAATATTTAAAAAATAATATTTAAAAAGAAAAATGAGATGCCAAAAAGATATAAAATAACAAGAATACTAATTTCGTAAAAATAATAATTCCTATAAAATTGTCCTGATATATACGAATAATTTCATGACAACACTGAAAAGAAAGAGTTTTAATAATTAATTCTTTCGCAAATGGAGCACAATTTTTCAAATTTCTGTAGAGACTGCTATATAATTTCGTGAACTATGTATTTCCAGATTGAAAAATTTCGAAAAATTCTTTATCGCCTACTACTTGGTTCAACTTTACGTCACATTTTCATCTCGTGACTCACAGCATACACAACTCCAAAAAGTCAATTACGAGCCTTAACTATGACCGAAACTTATTATCCTTATTATCCTTATTATCATGGTAGATCGAGTTGCATATTAGCTGCCACTTTCGAATCAATTTCTGGGCGCAGTAAATCTAGTTTGCAACGTGAAACTCGATTAAAGAGCGAGCCGAGAATAGGAAATAAGCATTTCCCTGATAGAGGGAAATGAAATCAAGGGAATGGGAGGGGTAGTAAAGGAAATGACCGCAGTTACCAGCGAATAAAGTAAACGATAGTCAATAAAACATTAACCGCGACTCGACCACACCGCTCTAAAACCAGCGAGAAGGAATAGGCCGTGCGAAAAGTGTAGGTCGAAGGTCTCTGCCAGGGTACGAAGGAGCAAGGAAGAAGCGAAAGAAGGATAAGGGTGGTAAAGCGAAGGGGTGGCTAGACGGAGCTCTAACAAGTGGCTGCAGTCCGTAACGATCGCCTTCTGTGTCATGCACCAGACACTCGCGCGCTTTCTCTATCTAAGAGGTTTAACCAATACACACCCGATTTCGTGTTCCTTTCTACTCGTATGTGTGCACCAACATTGCGGAATGTCGCTTAACGAGACACAAAGGTCGTTCATGATCGACTGATATTTCGCTCCCTTTTGACTTGAAATAATTTTCACCGCGACACGTCCACAAACGACAGCCGCTTAATTGGACCGATCGATCACTGCTATTACGTGGCTGCACATAAAATATATTGTCATATATAACGCGCCGTTTTCCCATTACCTGCAATTACCTGTCCGTCCTTTGCCAACATTTTCCTAACCGAAAAACTTTCTCACGACGGTAAATCAATTTTTTAGTGGCACATCAAAGTTTCAGATATATGCGAATACGTATTTAATAAGCGAGTGGATTATTTATCGGATAAAATGTACAATTTTTCCTTGGAAAATGAAATGTACCGGATAATTGGATGATTTCTAGATTAAGCGAATATTTCTTGGACAGTGGGATTTAATTTGTTTGTTTTCCTGCGATTAATAACGATGTCCTTTGTGAAACGATTGCTAGATTCGTGTCTGACTATTTTACATATCAGAGACAAAAGTTTCCGATATAGTACTGTCGACAATTCAGGTTTCTTTCAGAGATACCTTTCCTCTAAAGTATCCTCAAAGATGGAAACAGACTGTACTTCGTTTGAAAAAAGGAACAGAAGATATTTATTTTAAGAAACGTGACCGAGTTGCAATAATATTTTTCTAGTTCAATATCTATTTTTAATTATTTTCTGTTCTGTGGTTATTCCGATTAAATTTATCCTATTGAATCTTATATCGCGACTATTAAATTATATTATAATTTGGTAATAATTTTCAATTATTTATTTAAATAATTATTTTATTCAGCGAATTGTCACGTAGTAAATGACGAAATATTTATAAATATTTGAAGTCGTAATAGAATTAAATATTGATTACGTAATAATATACAGAATCATACGAAATGTATATGCCTATGTATGTGCATATGTGTATACGTAAATATATATCTGTGTAATTAATACGAATGTGAAAGTTCTAAAATTGTAAATTATTTAATATTATTAAAAAAAGGATTAACAACCGTGAATTTGATTATGTTCGGAATAAATTGATACCCATACTTTATATAAGCATATTTCGTAACCTCTTTTCATCTCCGAAATTTGTAACCTAATCTAAAAACCAAAGGGAGAAAATACGTAATGTTTGAGCAGCAGTTCGTTAGCGAGGGAGCTGAAGTTCGTCGCAAAATGACTACCATAGTCAAATATTGGTCCGTATTCCTATTTTTCACTGTGTACTTCATTATAAATTTCTGCTGCAATGCCTCGTGAATAAATCAACAAGAAATTTCCCAAAAAGATATTATTTTAAAATTTCACTAAAAAATGTATAAATTCTAATGGAATATTAAATCATATTTAATCTAAGTGTTGTATTTACTATGGTGGTAGAGCTATTTCATTGGTACGCCGTGCACTAGACCCGCCGATTCGCTGAATTAAAACTTTTTACAAGTTCGTCCAACGTTTTTTCGTTTTTACTGCATGCTTTTTTGCGTGTGTGCTGTCTACCGTGTTCTCACGACCATGCACACAAATAATAGCGTGTATGCTGTGATTCCATATAACAAGAAAAATTCGTCATAATTTTACGAAAGCTTGAAATCGACGCCGCGGCACGAAACACAAGTCATGTGACTTCCGGCGAATATGTGTACACACCACACGCAAACTCACGCATATACATATACTGGCTATACATATAGCCAGGATTAGAAAAGATAGAACGAGAAAGATAGACAACAGAAGGAGACGCGAGAGAACGTAGAAGTACCGAAATATCTGTTACTCAAACGCGTGGCAGCTCGCTCACTTTATGATATAAAGCACATGCTCGGCGTCAGAACTGTCAAATACAATGGTGTTTCACTTTAAAGTAAAATCATGAAGGCCTAAAAAAGTCACTTTTCTTAAAATTAAATCGATATGGAAGGAATGGTTAATGCTGCACATTCTTTGTCTTAAGTAACACTTAATCCCCGCGTACACGCTTCTACTATATATCTATCTCACTCTCAAGCGCGACCGGCACGATTGCTTGTCTTTATCGCACGTTTACTACTTTCTCGTTCGTCTTATATTCACTCTTTTTCTCTGTCACATATGTGGTTCTCTCACTTTCCTGCGATACATGCATGGTTTGCGTCTGGATACGCTCATACACGTGTATGATATATACGTATATGTAGAGTGACGTATACATGAACACGCATACAAGCATGGTTATTCTATAGATGATACCAAGTACCGTGCAACAGAACGTAACGCATCGAGGTAAGCCGGGGTAAGAAGACCTTAACCTATCGCAGTTAAAAGCTAGGAATGTAAGCGGCTCAAATAAAAATTAAGTGATTAGAGCAAATAAACATTCCGTTTCCTCGGTTTCGGATAAATTGTCTTACCTGCTTTACTAGTGGGTGTAGTGTCTGTTCTATGCTACGGGTCTTTATCTCTAGGGTGGCTGGGTCTACGGGGTCGGGTGTCGCCATGATTCGAACACAACTCCGAGCTCCGTAGACTCGAACCGAGCCTAGAGGGTTCGTTGCACCCCTCTTGCTTCTCGAGCGTCCTCACTACCCTCTCACAACACTCATGCGTTTCCACTTATTTCCCTAGACGCCCCTCTATTCGAATTGTTAGCCAATCGTTGCGTTGGTAATCGACGATGCCAGCGACATCCAGTTGCGACGGTGACATAGCTGCAACTACTCGTTGTGTAACTATGCTTCCAGTTTGAAAAAGACGCGGCAGTGCCATCTTCCGTCGTGCAGTTCAATCACCGCGTTTAGATTGCGTCGTTAATAGTTCCGCGTTCGTGTTATAATTCGTTTAAATTACAAGTTTTTTCTGTAAAATTAGAAGAAAAAAGAGAAATATTCTAAAATATTTCAAGACTGGAGTGCGTGAAACAGAATTACAGTTAACCAGGGATCTACATTGACATCGAAAAGAAGGTATGTATTTTTGAACGTGCTATCCATTTACGCGCCATTGAAACGAACATGAAATTCGTGTACTGCTTTGAAATAACATTTTAAAGTGAATTGCAAACTAAAGCCATTGCCCAATTAGAAATCTAATTGGTATATTGATATTTTACTTCGATATATGTAATCTACTGATGTAATTGTACACTTGGTCATAATATTTTTATATTATATTACGTTCAAATTTCGCAGTTTTGCAATTACGTGAATACGTTGAAAATGTAATAATTTTCACAACCTTTTTAACGATTTTCACGTTATTGGTGTACAATTTCATCGACGTAGAATCAATAAATTATTTCATTGGACCTATCAATTCAACTTTTTTTCCATTTTTTCGAGTATTCTTTTCATATCCTCTCGCGTTAATATTCTTATCTTTTGCCTTTTTGTTCCTTAACGTTTTCCAACATGGCGTCCATTGAATTCAACGAATTAGATAAATTAAAATAATTAGTGAAATTGAAATATAAAAATTTTTATAAATTAAATTTGTCAGGCGCAATTTTTTTTCTTAATTTGTAATATTAATTATAATATGAAATAAATAATATATTTAAATAATATAATAATAAAATAGGTTTGCTTCTATGAGAATTTTATTTACAAGCAGTACTTTCGAGATACATACTAATAATAATATTTAATAAATACCTGATAATAGCGACTAAGACGCATTCGTAAACACTTAACGAGGCAAAATGCTAATAAATAACTTTATCGATAAATTATATTTGTAGTCATACGAGGAAGTTATACGTGTTTAAAACATACATGTTACGACAAAATATCGTCGAAATTTCGTGACATTTGCTTTAATGCTATCGAACACATCTAATTTTTGTAAAGCTACACATGACTAGTTCTAAATAAAAGATATTCTTAAAACGTATTTTGTAAAGCAATAGTAGCTGACTGTATTAAATAAATAAACATACTTCTACCATTCGTTACAAAAAATCGAATTCTCGAATTGGACGAACAACGAATAACGAGAAATAAATATGAATTAATTCGACAGATGAGGAACACGTGTTATCTCGAAGCAGAATAAATGAAATTTTACGAAACGTTGAAATACACGTCACGAATTCCTACTAAATTTTCAATAGATTTCTAGTACAAGCTAATTTTTTGGGGATGTTTAAAACGAAGATTCAAAATTTCGCAAGTAACTGGTATCCACAAAGTGAAACGAAAAATAATCAGTTCTCACAATGCTGCAAATTATCACTCGTAGCTTAATACATAATTCGTCAAATAATATGACTCGCGCGTCTTTATCTTTTCGTGATAATAATACTGACAATAAAAACAGAAAATAAAGCTCCAATATGATCAGTGATAATTTGTCTTGTAGAGATAGAAAATTTAGTTACCATTGATCATGTAATTAAAACTGCTTGCAACTAGTATGAACTTTTCTCTGTGGACCTTTTGCACAGTTTTTTAATCTCAAATCTCTTTTAAACCGCCCTGAATCATTTCTGTGCTTATATTTCTTTCCTATGAACATCATTCATCTTTCCTATGCTATTCGAATACACGGTCAATACTTATTCTACTTTGTCTAACGATAAGTGCTCATGGAATATTCGTAGAACGTCCTTAAGAAAATTTCAACGTTCAAGGATGTCGGTTAACATTACTTCTTCATGTTAACAAATTTATTTTGATTTGGTGCCAGTGGCGCTCTTCTTTTCACGTGCTTCTCAGGGACCTTATCCTTTGATGCAGAAACTCCGTTGCAAGCTAAGCCGCCTTTCCTTTTTCTCAAAGATTCTGTAGGAAGATACTCAGCTGGTCTCAACAGCTGTCTAAAGTTATACGGTCCATTGATATCTTCTGGATCATAATCTACCTTAAGGATCTCCTGTCGCTTCTGAACGACTGTGGGTTTAAGGATTTGTCTAAGATTAACTGGAATTCCGAAAGTATCTTTCCCCAATTCTTTTCTTGCACATAATCGTCCATTAATGACGTTCTGACAGTTAATCAACCTCTCGATTCCTTTCTTATTATCTACACCGGCCTGAACATGTTTCTTCAGATTATCATTCTCCTTCGTTGGCTGTATTTCTTTCACACGGCCATTTTGACTTTTCTTCGCGCCATTGCTTAATCTTGACGGCTTGACCAGATCATCCCCCATGACCATTTTATTGATAAACAGGCCATCCTGACAACCACTGATGATATTTCGATATCCATTACTACAAAGTGCTCGGCCATTAAATTTGGCTGCATTGTGATCCGATGAATGTTCATTAACCGAGTTTGCATGGCCTTTAATTGTAATCTCGTGTCCGTTCGCGGAACTGTAATTGTTATTTGAAGGAACGTGTCCATTAACAAACGCTAGTTGTCCGTTTGCGAAATTCGAGCTTCCCTTAAACGCGTTTTGATGAACAGGGTGCCCATTTGCGATACGCTGCTGACCAGCAAGGGGTTGTTGACGTTCATTTACACTGGCGTGTCTGTTGATGTATCTGAATCGTAGGCCATTTGAATGGTTGAGATTTGAAGAGTCGACTGCAGGTTGCTTACGGTGCGGGTATCCTTCAGAGGACCGCAGGTCATTTCGAAGCACGTAATTAGTCCTTGTACTGCAAGGAAAATGATTGTTTCGGTTAGAGATTGATCGAGACACCGTGGTTTTGCTATTAATCTCAAAACTACTGACTGGTAAATGGAAGTCGAAGAATGAAAAGAACGGTAATCTACGATACATGGAGTGGTTGATTGATTGAAATAGTAAAAACGTCTCAAGGTGGACGTCTTATTATGAGTAATCGATCACGTTTCTATTTCTTATAACTTTTGCTACCTCGTTTATCTTCTAATCGGAACTTATGTACAAGAAAACAAGTTTCTACCATCGCTATATGTTTCTCCAGTGATAAATTGATCTAAAGTAACTATTCAAAAGAAGAATGTCTAGTAAGAAAACAAAGAGAGACATGAAATAAATGGATTTTCTCTTATATTTGCAAAAGATCTACATCAAAAGTTCCAAAATGAAATTATATTTGTTAGATAGGTGTGATACATTCTACAGATGGCATAAGTTTGTAATTTTACCTGGAAGTTTGCCATGATACCTCTGGCAAGGTACAGAAACACAACGAAAGATTAGTAGAACTCAATTGCTATTTTACAATGATTAATTCAACGATACTGCCTATTGCGAAACAATGCATTGCGAGTCTGACAAATAAAGAAACGAACGTAACGGTAACTGCCGAGGGAAGTGTTCGCAATTTAAATGGGAGATTCAAGTTTAGGCAAGAACACAATAGACATCTAATCGAGAAAGTTTAACTTTACCCCACTCTGCCCGAGTTCTCTTGCTGGTCCTCGCTCGGATTTCTCAGAGCTTTGTGCCATATATCCGAGAGTTGTTGCTCCGAAGCTATCGCAAAGTCCCCCTGAGCTTGCAAACGTTCTCTCCTCTCGGTGTTCACTTCCAGAATCTGGCCCATTCGACTCCTAAAATTAAAAATGGTACAGTAATTTTCATATACAATGCTTATTTACTATATAGGCAATAGTTTCAACGCAATATACAATATACAATATGCTAACAATTATAGGGTTCTAGAATAACTCTCGACAATCTTTCATTCTAATGTATCTAAGTTGTACTTGTACGAGGATACATACTGATAATTTGCAATAAAAGAGATTCAATATACTAAGATATCCGTAGAATTGTCTTATCAATTGTGATTTCGTATCTTTGTTGCGAATCAGTAGCTTCAAGCAATTTAGAGGACATATTACAGACTCAATTACATGGTTCTTGGGTAGACTTGAAGGACTTTTGGGATTTCAAGATGTAATCGTAAAGCAAACTGCAAGGGCTAGGTATTTTCTATGATACTCCAAGAAGATACCGATGAAAAGTTTCAGATACGGATATTTAGTCTCGAGATAGTTGAAAGTTTGATAAAAAGTCTCTGAGTTCTACGGATGTACCTCGTCAATGGGTGAAGGTCATTTTCTAGCTGTATCAACGGTAAGTCCCAGCCAGCTTCTTCTTCTTCGAAGTCCGAACCACTTCCGATGCGAGTGCCAAAAGCATTGGAAAATTGAGCATTCGAATTTCTCATTCACCCAGAGAAAATGACAGTGGGTAATCGATCGTAACGGAATAGTACGTCTATTTACCTGCTCATCTCGTCCTTCAAGTCTCGATAGTACTTAATGGTCTCCTCTCCGTCCACTTGATTGCCACTTCGATATTGCATGATTGGCTGCACCATGTTGAATCCTTCGGGTCGAACATAATCCGGTGGTGATTCTTCTATCTCATTTAATCGTACGCCAGGTTTATTGTGGCGCAGATTCTTGTGTACTTCTTGGTTTTTCATGTGAACCTTCGATATCATTGAAATAAGTTCACAATTGAAAATTACATTTGAATCGATAACATAAAATTGATCCTTATCAGGAATCTTTTCTAATTACGTTTTGAGAGAATTGTATGAGGTCAGCTTGTCTTAATTTATGATGTACTGGATCTTTCGTTGGTGGTTTCCTCTTCTTGATCCTTTCCTCCTTCTTGTACCATCGTTGAACGATGAATGCTGCTTCCTCGTTCTTCAAACCCTCGCGCAGCAACGCTTTGTGTGCCTCGAATTTGTCATCGTAGTTGTTCAAGAGAGACTTGAAACGTTCTTCGAGCTCAGGTCCGAAGCGTTTGCGAATGCTGTATCCTCTAAAATCTATGAACAAACAATTTCTATTAGTATCAAATTCTAATAACTTTCTATTAAACATAAGGTAATATTTTCGTCGAGACTCATTTCGAAAATAATCTTACGGCTTTGGATGATGACTGCAGCATCATCTTCCTTTAATGCCTCTTTCTCTTCCTCTTCATCTTCTTCTGTCAGCTCCTCAACCTTCTCCCTTTCTTTCTGTTCTTCTGTAAAAGATATACAAAGCATTGGTCAGTTAAATTAATTCTTTCAATTTGTTCCATATTCTTCCCAATGTATATTCATGAATTTTATTGGGAAAAATCTTAAAAATAAAAGGAAGTCGCGTACCCAGCGCTTTTCGTAGAACAGTTGCTTCTTCCTCTTCGTGTTTCTTCTTCATCTCTTCCAGGAAATGCTTCCGCGACAACCATCCACGAATATGACGCTGAAGTGTCACAACAGACACCGCGAATTGCCATTTTTGCTTCTTGAATCTGATCTTAGCAAGCCATCGACGAATACATGCTTGAACCATAATGATTTTCTTCAACTGCTCCTCGTACATCTTCGACAGGAACTCGACGTGATAGTATTTCAAGAAAACCTTTGTTCTACCCAATGCCCAGCCGTCCATTTTCAAGCGGATGAGTAGAAGACGACAATTGTCGCGATTAGCTATTACACGTTCGTCGTAGCCAAATGCTAAGAAGCAATACCTGCAATGAAAACGTACTTGAAAGTTCATACATGGGAAAGTTCATTGAAGCTATACAAATCGGCAGAGACACGAATTTTCGGCCAAAAGAATGGTCGAAGGATCTATAAATATTTATAGAACCTAACACAGAATTGGAGAAAGCATGAACGTACCTTTTCAAGAATTCATTGAATGGTATTCTATGCGAGAATCCATTTTGTCTGATCCTTATTGTTTCCAAAACGCCAGTGTATCGTAATTGCTTCACGACTTTCTCTTTATCGAAGAATCGTGGACTCTTAGAGTCGTTTGGTTTTATGCATCGTACGAATTGAGGCGATCCGGACACCATCTTTTGCAGCAAGTCCATTAGAGAGTACCGGAAGTAAGTCGCTACAGTTTGCTGAGCTCTTGATTGCGACGCTAGTCCTCGGCTCGAGTAACGTTCCTAATGCAATGCAAATAATTTATAGCAATTTTTAACCACTTATAAGCTCACCTCATAATATCATGAAATGAAATCTTATAGCATACTTAATTACATTTGTTATGGATGACAGTACTGCATGGTTATCTTAATCGAATAGTCAGACAATACCTTTGTATTCTGATTGGATTGTGACAACTTTCTTGAATCAGTGTCATGGACAGCTGAATAGAGGTTGCCAGTTTTCGTGATTGGACATTGGAATAAGAAACGGACCATGTCATATTGTGATTGCCTAACCAGTTGAATGACTTCAGGAGGCAGGAAATTCCTGTTTTTTTCCAAGAAGCCTTCCGCTTGGTAAACCACGCGTCCTGCGAAATGGTGAACGGCGAAACAAACTGCGTCTGATTTTGGTCTCACGTAGAACTTCGACTTGATGTTGTTGTGAAATTTCTCTGCAATATATGGAAAACTATGAATTAAGCTGCTATCTTTATCAACCCTTAATCAGAATCTGATCTAATTCAGAAACGTGAATTACTTGTAGTCGTTACAAATGTAAATAGTCAACTAGAGTTAACGAATAGGAACAATTCGTTAGCTGATCGCATTAAGTAACTCGGTCAGTCTTCTAAGGACAAGTTATCAGAAAAATTCAAGCTTCGTACCAATTAGGGATTTGTTAGTGGCTCGAGGAAATCGGCTCTCCTCGTCCAACAGAGCCAAGAGTCCCATAGGTTTGCTCAGTAACATGTCCAGAACAGGTCTGTTATCCGAGAACTCGACTAAATCTACAGGTATCCCTTCTGCCATATACTCCTGTTGCTCCCAAGTGAAGATATGCTGATTGAAATAATATTGTATTTGTTCATTGGCGATGTTGATGCACAGTTGTTCGAAGGAGTTTCTCGGGAAATTTTCAAAGCCGAATATGTCAAGCAGACCGATTGCCAGCGGTTCGTAGTTTGGTGAACGACTAAAGCATAGCAAGCAGTTGATTTGATTGACCATCCAATCAAATAACCGACCATACAGTCCTTTTGCCATTGCGTCCCTGGCCGCACACGCCTCGGCTACCGTATTATTTCGAGTGATTGTTTCTCCTCTGGTCATAACCGAATTCGATGTCAATGCCTCCAAAAGATCAGTTTCCTCCACACCGAGCAACTGTGAAACTGAAATGTGTTTCCAAGGTTTTAAACTGCGAGCCTTTTGCTCAGAAACCTATAATCTCTGAGCAAGTTAATCTTGCTCGATAATAAAAGTTAGATACTACCTCTGCGTAAAGGTGCTGCATCGATCACGCGGCTTTTGTTGTCTGTATTATCCTCGCTGGCCACTTCGCCGAATTCGATATCACCCAGATGAAGTATCGCAGCCAGGATACGATATACTATATCCACTTCGCTATCTTGAAATCCAAGCAGTTTAAAACCGACCTTTAATTGCTGGAATTTATCGATATGCGTTTGAGATGTTTGGCTGTGATCTGTCAGGTATCGATGATGCTTTCGCAGGTTTGAGTCCAGGTAGAATTCCGAGAGACGATTGTCTGCCTCCAACCCATCGTACATATAATAAAATATATGAAAATTACGTTCACCTCTGAAAATGAACGAGACCAAAGATTTAAAATCATCCTATACCTCGAACATGAGATACTTTATGACAAACTTACTCGGCTTGGGCTACTACTCGAGATTGTTCCAACAAATATACGTATATTCTGGCACCAGTGACTTTGCCACCTTTGGTCATAGTCAAGTCCAAGTACTTTCCAAATCTCGACGAGTTTGCATTGATTCCGGTAGTCGCGTTACCAAAAGCCTCCATTATTGGATTTATTTGAAGAATCCTCTCTTCTAGATTACGGTTTGGCGCTTTGCTGAGGTAAACCAACTGCTTCAACAGCAGATTCGCGCTTTCCGTTTTCCCTGCCCCGGATTCTCCGCTAATCACGATCGCTTGATTCTGTCGCTGATGTAGCAACGCTTGGTACGCGGCATCGGCGACTGCGAAAATGTGAGGTGGATTGTCTGATCTAGCTTGGCCTTTGTATCTCTTTTGCTCCTGCAGGAGTAAGTTAAAGCTCTATAAATTCACCTCTTTATAGATAACATCTCGCGTTTGAAGAGATAGAAACACAATTCTTCCATTCCGACAGCCTTTCTATCTCTTAGCTTTAATAATACTTACGATGCCCGTGTATAGACCCAGATTTGTGAACGGATTAACAGCAACAAGTATATCTCCAATATAAGTATATATTTGAGCTTGTTCGTATCTGTGTTGCAACTGATCGACAATCCCATCTTCGGACAGCATGTCTAAAGCAGCTAGATCATCCATGTACATCTTCTCTGGTCTAGCTTTTCGATCAGTCTTCAATTTCCCGTGCTTGGTCGTTACTTCGGGTTGTCTGTGAACTCTGCCATCGGTTTTCTGCCGTCGGATCTCCTCTTGCAAATCGAGCCTAATCTTCTCCGCGCTTGACTCGACGTTCATCAATAGAGGGTGTTCTTTTAGCTCGCTGGCGAAAGGTCTGTGCTCGAGGTCTTTAACTAAGCACTCCGTGATGAAGTCCATCAACTCTGGAGAATGTATGTCGGGATTCTTCAGGGATGGTGGTGGATTTCTAGGGATTTGAAAGAGCGCCCTCATGGGGTGCAGTTCAGAGAGAGGTGGGTCACCCTCTGCTAACTCAATCGCGGTGATTCCAACTGACCAGACGTCGCATCGAGAATCGTAAGAGGAATCCAGTTGCTGCTCGCAGGCTATCACCTGTTCATTTTTTAAATTAATTTCGTATTTTATTTATCAACATCGTTCTATTTAACATTAAATTCCTTTATATCTGATTCTTCGTTAGCGTATTATATTAATTTCAAGACTTTCTTGAGCTTACCTCAGGTGCCATCCAATATGGCGTGCCAACCGAGGTATTTTTCCTCGCAAGAGTGGCAACGAGGTGCGAAGACACGCCAAAGTCAACCAGTTTAACGTGTGCATCGTCAGTGAGCAAAATATTGTGTCCCTTAACGTCACGATGCATACAGTGATTGCTGTGTAAATAAATCAGCGCCTCCACCGTTTCTCTCAGGATGTAACCTATTTGGTCATCCGATAGGCGTCTTCCTTTTCTTTTCAGACCTTGGACAAGATCGGTCACGGAACCTCCGGTACACAACTATGAAAGGCATAATTTAGTCTCCGCGACTTATTCGGAAATCTCAAGTCAGCTGAATAGCTGAATAGTTTAATAAACTGACTATGTAGGTAATTTTAATTTCTTTCAACTCCGTGTACCTTGCCGATTATACCGCGGGTAAAAGATTAACGTGACAGTACCTCCATGACGAACCATAATTGGTCCTCTTCCTGAGCAGGCTTTGCTCTTTTCAAGAACAAGCCGTGGAAGAGCG